TTAGTCCATTCAATCACTACATCTCTCGATTAGATGACAATCCACTTAGGGCAATTACATTTACCACCACTGGGTAACATGTTTTCTGGTTGCTTTATAGATATCCTAGGATTTTTTTCTTTCCTGTGTAATTTCTTATAATTTGGGATTACAATATAATTATACCATTTCCCCTTCCCTTGCCTGGCAGCTTTCTGTGATGGAATAGTTTGAATTTTTTTGTTATTGTTTTACACAAGTATCATAGTCTTTTGCTTTTTGATTCCCCTGAAGCTCCAATAAAAACAATTAATCCTTTTGTTTCTAGATTTTTTTTTATTTTATGCATGTGAGTGTTTCCCATGTATTTATCTATGCGTACCACATGAATGCCTGGTGCCCACAGAGGTCAGAAGAAGATGATAGATCCCTTAGGACTAGAGTGATACATAATTGTGAATCACCTTATGGATGCTGGGAGCCAAACCACGGTCTGATGCAAGAAGAAAATATGCTCTTAACCACTCATCCTCTTTCAGCCCCAACAACTAATAATTATAACAAGCTATTTTAAGTTCACTGCAACTTAAGTTGCTTACAGAAACTACAGGGTCACTCCATTTTATAATGTTTATTTCAAATTTTACATCTTTATGTAGTTTGTCTACATTTGTTTTTAATTGTTTTCTTTCTTTTAATCCTCATACTGAAGATCAAATGCCCTTCCTTACCACAGTCAAAGTACTGCAGTATGTTGTATACGGCTATATACTATTGACACCGCTGACTTTGGAACCTTCCTGTTTTATTTCATTTCCTAGCAGCTTTGGGTTTCTGCTTAGAGAACACCTTTAGAAATGTCTGCAAGACAAAAAAGAAGTGGAGTTCTTTGATTTTCATTCGGGGAAATCTTTCCACGTCCCTCGTTTATTTCACTTGTTTGTTCGTTGTTTTTAGACAATTCTGACTTTGTAGCTTAAGCTGGTCTCCAATTCTTGACCATCTTAGTGCCTGAGCCTCTTGAGTGCTATTGGAGGTGTAAATTACCAGTCTCTTTGACTTCGGAAGGACTGTTTGTCCAGGTAAAGACTCTTAGTCTACAGGTTTTTCTACTTCTTTTCCTACAGAACTTTGTATACACAATTCATCTCTCTTGGACTGCAGACTTCTGATGAGGAGTCTTCTAAGAGCTACTACTTACATGACCTTCTCTAAACTTGATGTTTCTTATCTCTTGTTGCTTTCAGAATCCTGTTGTTGTTGTTGTTGTTGTTGTTGTTATGGCTGATCATGATATATGTCAGTGAATTCTTCTTTGGGTTGAATTTGGGTGAAGACTTCACAGTTTCCTGTATCTATTATTATCTTTCACTAAATTTAGGAAAACTTCAACCATTGCTTCCTTAATTTTTTTTTTTGAGACAAAGTTTCTCTGTGTAGCTTTGGTGCCTGCCCTGGATCTCTCTCTGTAGACTAGGCTGGCCTCAAACTTACAGAGATCGCCTGGCTCTGCCTCCCAAGTGCTGGGATTAAAGGTGTGTGCCACCACCACCTGGCCTTGTTTTCTCTTCCTATTCTCTATTTTGTAATGAAATGTCCTCTGAATAAACCTTTGGTTTCTTGGTGGTGTCTTGATAATTCTCAAAAGCCTTCCTATTTTTTATTCCTGTCCTTTCAATAATAATCCAAGTGACTTGTGTTTGAGCTCAATGATATTTTTGCATGGCCAAATTGAAGCTTCGAGTTGAACTTCTTGCCTCAGTGCTGTGTTCTTTATCTCTTAGGCAAGTATTATTTGCTTCTTTGTCAAAATTTTTACTTTGATCATCAAGTTTTATTTTCCAGACTTCATTTAATTTTCTATCTGTATTTTCTTGCAACTCTCTGAAGTCCATTCAGAGGTGTTCTGAACATTAGACCCTCATTCCCCCACACTGGTGCCTGTGCATTGTATGGTGGCTTCCTATTCTGACTTTCACAGGTATTCTTAACTGGAAATTCAACTTACCTGGCTAGTCTATCTTAGGGTACTAGATGGATTAGCTGAGAGCAACTCCAAACAGGGAAATATTGCTATAAGATTCTCTAGTGTTATTAGGTTACTTTCTGTGCCCTGAGATGCTTCAGAGTCAGGTGAGGCTGCTGGCCAGAGTGTAGTCAGTCAGTGCTCTTTAGGCAGGATGAGCTCTGCCACATCCTCTGATCAAACAGGACGTAGGGCTGTTTCCTCTGAATGGAGAGTAGTGTGGGGTGGCAACTGTAGTGGGAAAGCTCTCAAAGCACTAGTCAAGGTATTATAAGGTCTCTGGGGTTGATGTCCAGCTGCCAGGGGTGAAGAGAGTCAGACATACCTGTTCTGGCATTCCAACCTTTGGAACACTCAAGCAGAGCCCCTGCTACTGCACCACAGAGGTTGGGTGAGGACATAAGTTCCCATATTGGCAGACTGATACTTTGCCTCCCCCACTCAACATGTTTTTCTCATCACTGTGAACAAATATCTGACAGAGCGACTTAAGCCAGACCTTTACTTTGGATCACAGTTCAGAGGATATAGTTCATCATGCTGAAGACATGATAGTGACGGGAGTTCGCAACAGTGGCTTTGTTATGCGTACTGACCAGGAAGCAGAGAGACTCCGGGTTAGAAGCGGGGCAGGACTTTAAACCCTCAATACTCATTCCCAGTGGCCTACTGCCTCTAGATGGACCACCTTCCAAAGGTTCTACAACCATCCAAAATGGTGACCAAGTGTTTAAACCTATTAGTCAGGGCAGGGGCATTTCATCTTTAAACTATAATCTTTTTTTTTTTTTTTTTTTTTTTTTTGAGACAGGGTTTCTCTGTGTAGCTTTGCGCCTTTTCCTGGATCTCGCTCTGTAGACCAGGCTGGCCTCGAACTCACAAAAATCCACCTGCCTCTGCCTCCCGAGTGCTGGGATTAAAGGCATGCGCCACCACCGCCCGGCTTTAAACTATAATCTTAAAGAAGACTTCAACAGAAAGCCAGGGGCTTGTAGGCGACAGGTCAGGGACTCGAACCTGGGAGGCTGACAGACTCTGTTTATAGTAAAACTATTCTAGTATCAAGTTTCTCAGTTCTGCACCTACATCAGTCAGAATACAGCACCACCAACCACTTTCACATTGGTCCATGAGACGTTCCATCCTCACTCTGGAGTCTTGAGATGTGCACAAGGATCTTCTTGTGCACTATTAGATGCATCCCTGTGATGGAAGCTGAAATCATATTCCTAGTGTTACCTCCTTAAGATGTGTTTGTGAATACTCTGCTACTCCTGGATAAAGGAGAATATATAGTATCATAAAAAATGCTTGCATCCATAACTAAGCACATGCAAATGGACAGTAAGACAAAGAAATAGCCTTATTATCTTAATAAGACTAAGAAATGGCCTTATGTTCAGGCTCTAAATATTGATGGCCTTTGGAAACCTTGCTCCAAAGCCACCTCCAGGATATGTAAAAAAAAAATCCATGAATGTGGCAAAGGCTTAAGAAAAGTTCTTATCTATCTGAGGACTAGACTTTTTCTACCTGAGGGGAAAAATAAGGAAACACACACATTTTCTGATGGTAACTTTCTCTTTTACTTTATCTTTAAAAATCTCTTTCCTATATAGCTACACAAGCTCTCTCTTCTTCTATAAAGCTAGTCATATTCTACCCAGTGCTCTCTGCACAAATCTCCTGTTCTCTCAGCATACATGTACATTTTCATCTCTGCCCAGCTCTTTTACATAGTCATACATCTTAGAATTCTCTTTCCTCATCTCTCTCTGCACACCCAAACACACATTTTGACATGCACTCACCACTAGCTTGTTACACAGCTCTTCTACATAGCAGCAGCTCCTTCATCCAGCTCTTGTACACAGCTCCCCTATAGAGCTCTACACAGCTTCTCTGTACATTACTACTCCTCTCACAGACAAACTCTGGACAATTATATGTTACATTTTCAGGGTCTGATCCACTCTTATAACACATGGTAAGTCACACAGTTTTTCTCAGGGTACGAAGGTCACATTGACTGGCCAGTGAGTAACACTTGGCCAAGCACATAGCCTGAGTGGTTAACATTCCCAGACAGAGAATGACATTGAAATTCAGGACTACCAATAAACAATTAGTTGGCTAAACCTTGAGCCTAGGAGTATATGCAGTCAATTACTGTGGGGAATTATGTCTCAAAGTAAACAGCCTAGCCTTGATTCAACAAACAGACACTTGGGAATTTGTCCTTGAGTATTTTATTTGTAGGGGCAGCTAGTCTGTTCTGAAGTCTAAAATTAGCTGTCATTGTGACTGAGAATACTGTTACTTTCCTGTGTCAATTAAGAAAAATATTCTGGTATTATTTCTATTCATTGGAATTATACCGCTTAATCAGAAATCATCTCCCTGATCATCCATGGTTATATGTGTACCCAAAGATTTAAAACACACTACCAATGTGTTTTAAGCTCCACAGCTGTTCTTTTTAGTGGTAGGAGATGAGAAAGTTACATACAAGAGCAACCAGTCATTTACAGTCAGTGACTTCACAGCCTTGCAAAGTGGGGCTTCCCATCAGATGAATCTGGTGGGTTGACATGTTAAATACTAGTTGTCACCTGCTGTATACTCCCATAGTCCTTGGCAGTCTTTGAGTAAATACAAATGAAAACTACAATGAGATTCAACTGCATTTGGTCCTAGAGCTGAAAAGTGGATACATGTCCCCTATTCCTAACTCAGGAACAATCTCCAATTGATAACCACTTGCAAATGAAAATTTAGTTTCTTCCAAGTCTCACTGGGGAAAGAAACTTTTAAGGGTAGGCTGCATGCCCAGCAACAGATGACCAATAGAAGATGAACTCAACAGCATCTTTGGGAGTTCCTTGTCTTGTAATGCTGTGTCAGGGCCTTTCCCTGTTTTTAATTTTAAATTATTATTTTTTATTTTACTTCACTTTATTTATTGTTTTTCTTCTCTTTTTTTTTTACCCTACAGGTCCTGTGCATATACATTATGGCTTCTGGTTTAGCGTTTTTATGAATTTCTTGAATATACAAACAAGTGGGTTTCTGTTTCTTATGACTTCTCTTGTGTCTTTTCCTTCTGTTTGTTTGTTTTGTCCAATTCTGACATGCTAGTTTTGATTTTATCTTATTATATTATATTATATTTTATTATTAGTCCTTAGAGGTGTATTTCTTTTCTAATGAGAGACAGAAAGGAGCTAGATCCGGATGGGAAGGGAGGTGGGGAGGGGGTGGAAGGAGTAGAAGGAGGGGAACCATAGCCAGGATATATTATTGATAAAATATCTATTTTCAATGAAAGAAACGATAAAAATGGCAAAGAAAAGAGGCTGTCACAGTAGAGAGTTGGGGAAGATATGGCTTAGCTGAACTTCAGATGCAAGGCTTGTTGGGTGAAAACTGGAGATTTTGTTGACAATACAGCTAAATCTGAATAACTGTTCGAAAGAAAATTGGCTGTGTTGTGGTCAGGTATTTCCCTTCCAAGATACAGTCAACTCTGTTTTAGCACTTGATTTAAAAACTCAAAGTTGTTTCAGCACAATTGTTTTACTGGTGGAAATTTGATCACAACGCAAATCTCACATCTCTTTTCAAAAAAATAATTTCTTTCAATTTTGAGATATGTCATTTCCCCCTTTCTTCCCTCCAAACCTTCCTGTATACACCCCTTCTTGCTCTCTTTCAAATTCATGGCCTCCATTTCAATTAATTTTCTGGGTGTGTGTACATGTGTGTGTATGTGTGTGTATATGTATTACTAAATACATAAGTAGAGCCTGCTCAGTCTGTACAATGTTACTTGTATGCATATAATATTTCTTTACAGACAGTTTCATCAGAAAGAAAGACAAGGTGATAGGAACTACCCAGTGGACCAAATTTACATAGAAACACACAAAACCATTGTATGCCTCAAGCATCTACCAGCTTTGTCAGTTCACTGACTGGAGGGCCCTACAAGTCTTATTTTTAAGCTTTTATTTTATGTAATCAAACACTATTATATATAAACAAATACATATTCAGCATCTCAAGCATCTAATTCAAGATGCCAGGCAGCAGCAATAGAAGGGCATAGCAGTTTCATACGAAGGTCTTAAATGAAAACTGCCAAACCCTGCCAAAATGGCTCCTCTATTGTTACTAGCTTCAGTAGTTTCAAGTATCATTACAGTTTCCCAAGATTTCAGATTTTCAGATAAAATCATGAGTTTAGGTTAGAAAGCCACAAAAGAATTCCTGACAGTAATACATTAATTGAAGAAGGCTACATATTTGATCAAGAAAATTTTATTGTTATTTTAATAAATCAGCTTCCATTATAAACCTCAAAGAACCTACATTTAAAAAATGAACAAAGAAAAGCAAAAGTATGCCCAAGTATTTAAGGGTTTTAAAGCAACAATCAGTAGCCAAAGTAAGAAAATGCATCACATCTATTCACTTTTAGTATTTCAGCTTTCTGATTCCAGATTACTGCCCTTCAACCACTTCATACCAGTTCACAAGCTCCACCCTCTGACATCTACTTCCTCGAGCAAACCGCATGTATTTCACAAGGTAAAGTATCGTATCAATTTTGGTGCTTACTGCTTTACCACCTAACATGGATAGCATCCTACTATTATTTTTTAGTTTAGTTGTAACAGAAAAAAAACTTACAACTGTACCTTTAATCCTATTTTCTTCAGAAGCCATGTGGGTTTTTCTTCCATTTTGTCATTATTTTTATTTTTGACTATTCCATACATGCATAAAATTGATTGCGATCATATTCACCAGTCCCAATACCCCATTTTATCCACTCCTGCTGATCCTGATCTTATTCTGACCTAGCCCCCTTCCAATTACGTCTTGTTGTCTGTGTTCCTGTGCAGGTGATCACAGCTGCTGTAGTCACGACTTCAATGGCCACGTCATGTCCAGAAGACAGCATGTCATGGCGCTGCTCCCTATCGTCTGGCTCCCACAGTCTTCCCAACACCTATTCCATCATGTTCCCTGGGCCTTAGAAGGAGGACACAGATGTCCTATTAGGGCTGAGCACTCAACAGTTACTTGTTCTTTACACTTTGATCAGTTATGAGTCTCGGCTTTACTGTGGCCCATTGCAAAAGAAGCTTCCCTGACCAAGGCTGAAATAGTACTAGTCTATGGGTATAAATGTAAATATTTAGAAGGCAGGTTCATTACATGTCCATTTAATAAAACATCCATTGTAGATTCCTCCAGTCCCTGGCATATATTCTATCTCATGGATCTGGCTACAAATTCAATCAGAAAGAGATTGGTAACCCCCAGAATGTTTTGTCTAGTAGGTCTTTCTGTGTTATAGAATGCAGGGGCCACAGTTGCATGACTTCTGATGGCTTTTCTCCCTCAATACCCTGCATAGGACCTTCTGACACTATGAACACTAGCCATCAGGGAGGAAGTATCTAGTTCAGTTGGTTTGATTTCCTTATGTCCTGTAGTGTGTGTAGTGTGTAGTGTGTAGTGTTTTCACCAGTGGGGTCTCACCATCTAGTTCTAGTAGGCCACTAAAAGCAATGGCGATAACTTGTATGGTTTTGTAAGCCTCTCAGGACTGACTGTCAAACGACTCATATGGAGTTTTGGTTTAAAAACTCATGACTACTGGGAGCAGTATTATCTACCCAGGCAGAATACCATCATTCAAGACCTTTATTTTTTAAGATTGCATTTATTTTAGCTAGCCTATAAACTAGATTTTAATACGCATATAGAAACCTACTACTTTGTGGGGTATATGGGTTTTGCTATGAGATTTTACATAGCACACTAATTTTTAGTAATATATATGACACATCGTAGCAGAACTACCTGTGTATCACTGAAATAAATGGAGTGCACAGTTGTAACAAAATGTATGTGTTTGTGTCACTACAACAAACACCAAATGCAACTACCTTTATAAGGAAAAATGTTTTATTTGTCTGGTAGTTTTTGGAGGTTGAAAATCAAGCCTTCAATGTGTGAGCCTTTAGAAGATACTTGACATCTAAACTATATCAATGTGCATGTATAACAGTTTTTAACCAGTGAGATGGTTCAGCATGTAAGAGTACTTGCCATTAAGCCTGACAATTGCAATTCAGTCCTTGTGATCCACATGGTGAAAGAAGATAACCAACTTCTAAACGTTGTCCTCTAACTTCCACACAGCTCTTTGTCACAGCTTTAGAGCTTTAGAAGTCCGAGGCTAAGGAACCAGCAGGGTTAGTGTCTGGTGGCAGTTTGCTCTCCACTTCCAACATGGCACTTTGTTGCTATGTTTTCAACAACAGAAGAGCTGGAACATGAAGGGCTCGGTAGCGGTAGCCTCATTTAGAAAAGCAGTAAACTTTCTACAAAGTCATTGTGATCCTGACAAAATACCAGCTTTTTCTTTGCAGAATTTTTAAGCTTTTTTTTCAAGAGACATGGGACGCACAAAATCAAAAAAAGCATAAAATAAGAGAATCTTAAAGAAAAAAGCAACATGAAAGAACTACTGTATCAGGTCTCAGCTGTCATAAGTAATTATTATAAAATTATAGTTATTCAAAGAGTACATAATTGACATAGTAAATGTCAGTATAGAAAACACTAGTGATAAAGGAAAGGGTAAATGAATGTAAACATTAAAATTGAGAACTGTATTCACAAAGAGACGATATCAGAAGAGAACAAAACAAGACAGTGGAATTAGTAATATGCAGAAAGACTTATGCCAAGAATAGGTAAGAAAAGCCCACAATTAATAATAAAAGACTAACAAGCCAACTGAAAATAGGTAAGATTATTCAGAAAGTGGAATATACAATATGTAGAAAAGAAATCAAAAGAGTAAGTGCCATTAGTAATCACAAAAACTACAAGTAAAATCAAGATAAACTCACTATAAATCAAAGAGAAAACCCCTGATCAGAAAGATTAAGAGGGGCTGGGAGATGACTCAGCAGGTGAAGTGTTTGCCATGTAATCACAAAGGCCTGAGTTTATCTCCCCAGCAGCCACATAAGAGCTGAATGTGGTGCTTGCGCTTGAGTTTGGAGACAGATGGGTCACTGGAACTTTCTGGGCAACCAGCTTAACCCAATCAAAGAGCTCAAATTGTGATGAGAGACCCTGCCTCAAAATACAAAGTCGAAGGCAACTGAAGAAGACAACACTGGGTGTCTGTCTACCTCTGTCCTACATATGCATACATAATACACACATACACATACATACATACATACATACTCACATACACATACATATATACATACACACACATACATACATACATACATACATTACATACATAGAGGGGGAGAATGAATTAAACACCAAGGCTAAAGGGTTGACAATATAAAATATTGGTGAGGCATTTTGATGTTATCTCCTAAAAACGAAGATATGCATGTTATATTTGTGCCATGACATAGAACCTTCTCCAAAGCTATTTCCCTTGCCCTGAGTCCATGGCCTCACAGTTCAAGGTGGCCATGGACAACACAATGTCCATTGGACAAACAAGGGTAAATGGCATGTCACTTTGGAGTATTGATCATAAAATTGTCGTTTGCAATGATTAATGTTGATTTATCAGTTCGGCAGGAATGTTTAAGAGGGAGCTTCTAGATTGGGTTAATTGAGGTGAGCGTTCCCACCCTGAAAGTAGGCTGTAATCTGCCATGGTCTGGGGCCCAAGACTGAACAAAAATGAGAAAGTGAGCTGAGCAGCAGACTTCATCTCTGCTTCCGAACGTAGATGCCATGTGAGAGCTGCCCTCCTGCCAGCAAGCCTTCCCACTGTGCCCTCAGACTGTGAGCCAAAATCAACTTCTCTTTCCCTAAGTCAATTTTGCCACGAGGACAAAAATAAAAGTAAACAGCACACCCTCTGTTATCCTCCATTCTAACCTCCTCCTTTTAATAAGATTCTAATGCCCAGAGTGACCTTAAAAATGGGACTAGCCATCCTTGTTTCTAAGAGCTGGGGTGCCTTTTAAGAGATTTAATGGAAGCTACAAGTGAACTTCTATTGTATTAAGTCACTACAATTTTAGGATTAATCCATGAAGGCAGCTAATATATTGTTGTGTGCACATGAGTATGCACATGACACACAAACACACACATACACAGTCATATTCATGTTTTTCTCAGACTGCTGATTCACATTGCAACACTTCAAAAGTAAAGCCCCTGTGCTACACATCTCACTGCATCCTCAGTGTGAGTTAAATGCCCCTGTGTGAGTCCTGTACCCTTCACAGTCTCACTAGCTAAGAGGAAATAGTCGTGAGTGTTAAGTGCCAAATCCAGATTCACTTCTACACAGGCTTCAATAGAACCCTTGTTACTTTTGGCTGGATGATATGAACAAGTTATTAAAACCTGTGTGTGTTTCCCTTTCTAAACATTATATATTCATTTTTTTGTTTTTGAGACAGGGTCTCATGGAGCATAGCCTGGCCTTGAACTCACTATATGGCTAAGGATGACCTTGAACTCCTTATTCCCCTGCCTCCACCTCTCAGATCCTGGGGTTATAAGCAGGCATCAGAAAATCCAATATCCCTTTCTCAACGTATGTATTATTGCAAAGGCTGGTGAGACAACTCAACAGGTAAAGGGTCTTGCTACCAAATCTGAGGACCTGTGTACAATCTCCAGGATCCACATGATGGAAGGAGAGAACAGACTATCACCCACAAGTTGCCCTCTAACCATCATGTACACATTATCACAGGCACAGACAGAAAAAAGAGAGGGGAGGGAGAGAGGGAAGGAGGGAGGGAGAGTGAGGAAGAGGAAGGGAGGGAGGGAAGGAGGAGAGAAAATAGATGTGATAAAATTATTTGTGTATGTATGTATATATATTGCTTCATCAAGAACAAGATAGGCAAATACTATAAGGACATGGACTCTGGTATGAGACTAGGGATCTTGAAGCCCAGTTTTTCCAGTAACAAACACTGGATCTCATTCTCATGAACAGGCAATGTAGAGAGTCAACACTCCAGCTGTGGAATCAGATTTCCTGAGTTCAACATCTGACACGATTCACAATGTGTATTACTCTTCTGAGTTAATGTGAAACTTCAAGGTTTCTCACTTGCTGGTGCCTCTTTCAACATCCTCTATATTTTATATTTGTCCGTTTGGATCCTGCCTCTGAAAGAGGCTGCTTAGTATTGTCAATGAAAAGTTTCAGATTGCACAAAACCTGACCCCAAGTTTGGCTCCTTTAGTTACTGTCTTATAAATTGTGCTGGGAATTTGCCTTTCTTGTGCTTCGGGTAGCTCATTTGTAAAGCGCAATAAAAATAGAAACCTTCTACATAATATTGCTACTAGGATGTAGCGAGAGACTTCACAGAGAATGTTTAGAACATTGTCATGCCTACACCCAATCCTCATGTGTGCTGCCTTCTGTAATTCCCTCTGGGAGCCAATCTTTATCTGGTTCCTCATGGCCCTGTTGGATTTAATGTCACCTTTTGCTTTGTAAATTTAGCCTGAGACAAGCTTCACCTTAGTCCTTCATCCCTTCCCTTTATGCCAGTGTGCATCCCTCCTAGAAGCCTCTTGAGTCATTTATAGTCTGGTTTTTATCTGTTTGTTAGATCCACTTAGTCTTTTAAACCTATTGGGTTGTTCGTGGCTTATAGCAGCGTGACAGGTTTGGTTCATACTTGCCCACTAAGAGCTATCTGCCAGACAGGGCTTCTCAATAATAATATTGGCAAGATGACTTCCCATGGGAGACCTTGATTTGGGAGATATGGGGATGTGGGGTTGCTTGGGAGGGAGGACTGGGGGCTGGGAGGAGGGAAGAGGTGGGATATGTGGGTGGTATGTAGAGTGAGTAGAAAATTTCTTAATAAAGAAAAATGAAAAAAAATATTGGCAAGAGGGTGACATTATCATTAACTTTTGTCATAAATTATATTCTGAAAATGTTGTTATGTATCATCTATAGAACTGAAAAAAAGCCGGTTAGCATGTATATGTGTGAGTGAGTGTGTGTGTGTGTGTGTGTGTGTGTGTGTGTGTGTGTGTGTGTGTGTGTTATAAAACCAGAAAAAAAGGGGGAATTATTTGTGGGGAGGAAACATACCCACTAGAAGGGGAGAAGAGAGCAAGAGAAAGAGTAACAGGGAGTGCATATGAGCAACTTACAATGATACATATGGATCTAAAATGTCAGAGTTAAATCCATTCTTTTATGTGTTCACTATGAAAGAATTAATACAATGAAATGGAGTTTAAAAAAGACAAAGAATTATATTGACCTTCTGAAATACATTCAACTCCATGAAACCTGGCACTCTGTCTGCTAAAGAACAAATGGAACACAGACACAGGGGGGTTTGCAGATGTGTTTACCAGCTCTCTGATTGTAAGCTAAATCCAGGGGAAATGAGTAGGGAAAGACCCTGCTGCAGCATGTGAAGGGTTCTGTTTCTCCACCCCTGACAGTGCAGTTAGTGTGGCAACTGAGGAAACGTTAACAGTGATCTAATGCTCGCTGTGTGGGGCTCATTGGTGCACAAGCAAGATCAGTTTCCAGAACAAACCCCATTGCTGCTGAAGTCATCATATTTAACTAATGTTTGTCAACCTTTAAATCAAGCTAAAACACCCAGGAACCCTCTAACCAAACATTTAGGTGGGATTATTGGGTGAAATGTGGGAGTTATGGAATTACTGATGAACCATAAATAATCTCACTGTGTTCCTTTATTTTGTAGCCATGACGGATTGACATAATACCCTTGACAAACATGTGACCATATAGTCCTGATTTTTTTTTGAGACAGGATTTCTCTGTTGTAGCCCTGGCTGTCTTGGAATTCACTCTGTAGACCTGGCTGGCCTCAAACTCAGAGATCTACCTGCCTCTGCCTCCCCAGGGCTGGGATTAAAGTCATGTACCACCACTTCCTTAATTCTGAATTTTTAATCTAATACAAAGCTAAACTAGACTCTATAAACCCTCTCAAAATTATATTCAATAAGCAGTTTTCTGTTTTATGCATGAATTCTTTAAGGATTAAGATGAAGTGGAAACAGACTGAAGCCTGATAATAATGGCATTCAATGCAGTGAGCCTAAGAGATGTATCTCCTTCATTGTTTTCTGTTCCTATCTGAAATTGATCACGGATATAGATCCTAATTTCACCCAAATACTTAAGCAAGTGTTCTCCTTCTTAGTGTCTTTTCCAAAATACCAACACCACCTGTGTTAGAACCATCCAGAGGAACAGAATACAGAGGGCAGGGGATGGGAGGAGAGGGGAGGAGAGGAGAAAAAAGGAGGAAAAAGAAGAGAGATAGGAGAGGAGAATACAATAAAGAGGAAGGGGAGAGAGGAGAGTGAAAAAGCGGCTCAAGCATTGAAGGATTGGCTTACGTAAAATCTGCAGGATGGACAGGCACTGGGGGCATGGGAACACCAATACAGCTCCAATTGAAGATGATCTGCAAAGAATTTGTTTTCCTCAGAGGGACCCAGTCTTTTCTCATAACACTTTGAATGAACAAGATGAAGTACACCCACATTGTAGAAGGTAATCTCTCCTGAAATTTTGATGGTGGTCAATTCACATTGTTTTTTTTTTTTAATGCCTTCAAAGCAAAGTCTATATTACTGAGTACTGTGCCTAGTCAAATGGACTCATAAAATAATCACACCAGCCAATGCTAATATGGCAATTACTTTTTGTTACATATTTTAAAGGGCTATGAATGTCATAAGTCTCTGTTGGTTTATAAAATGATCTCTTTGCCCTCTATAGATGCTCTGAATTCATTTCCATCTGTCTTTCCTGATCCATAGTTTATCAAAGGTGCCACAGATACACACTTAAGGACAGAGATGTACCTTTGAAGAGGGTTATGATACAGCAAAGAGCTATTTCTAGATTTCCTATGTGGGCATGGTCTAGATTCTTTGGCCCATTTCCTTGGTTAATATTAGCTATGATGATCCTCTGGTAGAGATGACTCAAGTAAACAAGAAAATAATTTGCTGTAAAGAAAGTTAAAACCTGAAAAGTTATTTATGAAGGAGGGTCACTGAGACCGGGTCAAGGTAGAATAAAACCATCACTCTTGAGCCAGAGAAGAAAGTATGTGGCTGCAGCTACAAGTCAAGTGAGGAGTGATTTCTGTCCAGCTTCAGAGAATGGAGAGGTTAGCACAAGAATAAACAAGCAGGCAGGGGAATTTAAAAAATTCATCCACTGTGAACATACAACTAGACTTTAATTTCTCAACACTCGCCATAGTAGAATCCGTAGATTAGTCTTAGATAGATGATTTCCATATTTATCCAATGACAAGGATATCCAATGACAATGACAAGGATTATCCTGGGCTCTTGTCATTCAACAGATGAAAAAAAAACTCTTAAGAATAAATTTTAGGTTAAACAATAGCTTTGAGTTAGTAAAGACAGTGGAGATATGTAAGGAAGAGTAAGTCTCCTATCATTCCATGGGGAGAAATTCATGTGCCAGAATGTCTCTGTACAGTTCAGGTTCTGATACAATGAAGGGAGTCCTTATCATGGTCTTCCTTCATGCCTTCTACTATAAAACAAGTGTGGAAAGTGACTGGTCATTTGAATGCTGTACGGTCTGATTTGGGGATGTAACTGTGTAAATGACTTCTGTACAATGAAAGCATCATTCTATCCTAGAAACTTTGAGCATCTGGAAAGCTTACTATTGCTTCTGAAGCACAGAAGGGCTTAACAATCACAAACATCACCATGTCATCAGGTACTATGGTTATACTTCTCCATCATCCAGAGAGCTCAGCCCTTCCCTAGTTCTCTCAGCTATATTGGTAGTAGCTTCTGGGTAACTATGCCTGATCATATTAGAAGTCTAAGACATCTTTTTAGTGGCCTCTCCCTTTAAATTAACTACAAAATCATCAAGTGAATGTGTTGTACAGCTATGGCTTGGGACCTGCCACCCCAAATGTTCACTGCCTGCCAAGACCAAACCAGCAGTGACTTAAGGTAAGGAACAGGACAGAGAAGTAAATGAGAAAGAAGAAAAACATGCCTGTAAGCCAAGAAAGAGCCTTTAAAGATTTCTGATGTGGAGAAAACAAGGAAGTTCGATCACGTATATTCCAACAATTTAATTGAATGATGATATTTATTCCATAGAAAAAACAAACTTCTCAACAAGGAAGGATCGTGAGTACAGCGAATGATTAAGCGATTCACTTCATGGACCTACCTGCCAGCTTTGCTGCTTCCTTGATCCGTATATAAAAACCTGTGCTGAGCACCAATGACCCTACTGCTCTGGTGTCCTGTTTTCTCCACCATGCACAGCCTCTTGCGCCGGTTCAGTGCTGCCACCCTCTTCCTGGTCCTGTGCCTTCAGCTGGGAATCAACAAGGCTGAAGATAGCACGTGAGTCAAACCCTTCTTTTCTTTTGCAGGAAAGCCATGGAGGGGCTTCCCCTCCTGACCTGGAAGCCTGCACACATTTTTCTGTAGATTTTTAGACTGCAAAGATCTCTAGCCTTGGAAGCTTGCATGAACCTCGTGACAGGTTCCATTCTCTTAGTAGGCTTCATACATTGCCTTCACATTTCCTCTGGGTGTATAGGCTTGCCTAAGAAATAAAGCCCCCACTGTATATGAGTTTTCTATAAAAAATTAGTTTTACTCTCTTTGATCTACTCACTGTTCAGAATTTTACTCAGTTTACCTCAAAAAGGTAAAAAAAAAAGTCTGTGAGTTCTAGCAATCGCTTCAGATGTCTCTGGCAGTCCTCACTGAGAGTGAGAGCTTTTGTCACTGACCCATAGTCTCAGGTTGAGCTAGCCAAACAAGCATCATAGATATCATTCCTATGATAAAACCAGAAGACAAACACTAGGACCTTTAGTCACACTAAAGAGTCCATGTTTGAAAAAAGTGGAAAAGTTGAAGGAGTAGAATGAAGTAAGAAATGAAGCCAGATGCTGTCGGGGGTGGGGAAGCAGAGTTACCCAATTAAACTGGAGATCTCTACATTTGCAGCAGCCTAGGCTGCTGGCTTTATGGATTATGAGCCTTTGGGTGCTCTGGGAAACTTGGCCAAATGTCTTATCCCAGTGGAAATGTCAAGGTTTTAAGTAGCTCTGATGCAAGCATCCTGAGAAGCCCTGAAGTTCCAGTTCAGATGGCTTTCTTCCTGGGCCAGAGGGAAGCCCATGTTGAAATAAGCTTTATGATTAAGGTGACTAGGTCATCGCAGCTGGTCAACAACTCTCCTGTTTATTATTGAATACCTACCTTGTATGGAACCCTTATCCTAAGGAAAAAAACTGGCATGGTTAACTGCTATAGCTAATCTGGCCATCCTACCAACCCTAAACTCATTCACAAAACAGAAATTTTGAAGACACCTGGTCTTCATGTATCTTTCCTAGGAACAAGTCCTAGAGCAGTTGGTACAAGAATTAAAGTGTAACATGTTTTGCCCTAGGAAACGGAGCTATGAATAATGCTGTCTAAGAATTTTTTTCTACCCCACTCACCAACAAAGGACCTTAGCCAAGTTTCTTTATAAAGAAGAAGCAACCCCCTTGGCCCTGAACAGCCTTTGTTGACTAGAGAGGAACATTTGCCTCTTTGCTTCATCTCAGGTTCTTTTTCTCAGCTGTGATGTGTTCACAATTACAATATGTACAGATTTCCTGTAAACCTAAATAGATAATACATTCTTAGGCTATATCCAGAAATCATAAAGGAAGATCTTCAAGGAAGATCTATGAACTCCTCCAGTGTGAGTTGTTTACATAATTCTGTGGATATGAAGTTCTCTCCTATGGATGACTTGACTCTTTCATTCCGTTCAGTAGACAAGGAGCAAATAAACTGTATGGCAGTGGTTCTCAACCTTCCTAATGCTATAGCCCTTTAGTACAGCTCCTCATGTGTTGGTGACCCTTCCCCAACAGCTGTAAAATTATCTTTGTTGCCTCTTCATAACTGTAATTTTACTACTGTTACGAATTGTAATGTAAATACCTGGGGTTTCTGATAGTCTTGCGTGACTCCTGTGAAAGGGTCATCCAACTCCTCAAAGGGGTCATGGCTCACAGGTTGAGAACTACTGCTGTAAGTTGTTAGGAGATGGCATGAGACAGTAGATAGTTTTCTACTTTAAAATTTGTTATTTGAAACTGGAAAAAAAAGATGCTCCATTTTAAACAATATGTCTGTTGCTTAATTAAACAAAGGTAAACATTCAAACCAGCCAACACACAAAGACTCCTGAGGATTTTGATGCTCAGCTGTTGGTTCAAGCTATATAACTCCCACCGTTGCTCTGTTCCCATGCCTCCTTCCAGCTTGATGCTTTTTTTGTGTGTGCAGGTCTCTGATCTCTGTGCCCTGTTTTTCTCTTCCTAGAATTATTCGAAAATCACTTAAATTTTTTTTAGACGTTCCAAAATCTGCAGCGGCAGGTGAGGAGATCACTGTGAAACTTGGACTTGAGACAGAATATTATGAATGTTTGGTGGTAAGTAGATGCATGGGACAGTGACTCCAAGTCAAAAACTGATTCCTGAGTTATAAATATGATTGAACTCATCTTTTACGTTAATACTGCATGATAAAAATAATAAAAGAAAATCCTCATACATGTTTTGTTACCTGAATCTCAGAACAATGTTAAGAACTTGTAGCAGGTGATGATTCCCATTTCACAGATGAAGAAACCCCAGTCCAGAGGAGTCTAGGAAGTAAAAGAGTGAGAAAGAAAGAGGAGGAAAACTGGTGGTGTTTCCTCCAGGGTCCTAAGCATGACTGGATTTTGATAAGGGCTTTTGGGAACAGGGTTTTCATAAGAACATCCTGCAACCACAGCCATAGGTTAGAGCAAAGGTAAGAAGAGAACATGGGTAAGCTGGTTCTTCTTCTCCAATAATACCCCAAGCTGAGCCTGCTTTCCTCTTGGCCTTCCTCTGCCTCCTGACCTGACAAGATCAAATCCCCAGGGTCTACAGAAGGGGGTTCCCAGCTCTATACCCTGAACAACCTGAAGATAGAACACAGCATTATGCTACACTTCCCTACAGCATGACTTTCTTACTTCAAGTGAGAACTCAAGAACAATGATCAAATTAAGAAACAAAATAGTACCAGGAGAAGACCATTCATTATAATATAATCAAGAAATAGCCTCATCCTGATTAAAGAAAGATTCTTGGACATATTGCAAACATATATCATGGCCTTTACCAATTTTTCTCTGTTTGCAAGACAAGAACATGAACTATGCTTGCTAATGTGGGTGCAGGATGAAGGTTGATTCCTAGTTTTGCAATTTGTGTTTTGTTAGTCATAATCACAGATGATGTTGAGAAAAATGTTTATACAAGGAATACAAAAAAGACTTCTGTAATAAAGATAGTTTCTGGTGATGACAAACAATGAAAGTCTATTTGTACCCTTAAAAAGTTAATGTAATAATTGTGTTGAGCTCAATAAAATGGCATGTGATATTATAGTGAATAAATTTCTGATTTTAAGAATCATGCTTCTAATACAAAAGAGTGAACTTATAAAAAAAAAAAGAAGCCCTCCTGAGGAGAAGCAAAAGGAGTAAAAATACCTTAAATAGTAACTGTTTTTCAACCAAGATTTGTGTAATAGGAAATTTCATCAGTTTGTTTTGAGCAGCCTCGTTATTTTGCTCTGGCTAGCCTCAAACTCATTATGAGCTCAAAGTAGATGGTTTCCCTGGTCCTCCTGCATCAGATTTTCAAGTATTGGGATTACAGATATAGACTATAGCCATCCCATCCTGCACCAAACAATTTTTAAAGATTTTTTGTGTGTGTGCATGAGTGTTTTATGTACCATGCATGTGCCTGGTGCCTGTAGAGGCCAGAAGAGGAAGCTGGATACCCTGAAACTGAGGTCTCAGGTGTTTGTGAGCTGCCGTTTGGGTGCTAAGAACTGAACCTGGATCCTCTACAAAAGTAGCAAAAGCTCTTAGCCACTGAACCATCTCTCCAGCCCACCAAACAATTTATTTTTATTTAGAGTTTTCTGAGGTGGGGTGTGAGAGAGGATCAACATATGACTATAACTATAAAGTATATTTATATTCTAAAAAATTTGAGGAATATATTTCTTTTTATGATTGAACATTGTAAACCCTCTTTTTTATAGTAATTTCAATGTTTTCCAACTGAACATTTAACAACAATTAGTCTTGGGCTAACATTTATTCATTTTAGAATTAAAACAGAATAGCATATACCTGTGATTATATGCTTGAACATAAGGACCAAATAGTTCTTTAGGACTGGAGAGAACTTGTGATGAACCACGATCTTCAGCATCTTTGTGCAACAGACCATTTTCCTGATCTCATTAAGTCTATAACTTACTTAACAGAAAACTTCTTCTAAGGGCAAAATGTACACTTCATTACATGAGAAACTACCATTTTTAATAATGATGATAAAATTACCCAATACAGTAATCTATGTGTTTATTAAGGGATGACTCCCAAATCTAACACATATGAAATGCAAGCAAAGTTAAATTCACCTTATAAAGACACTGTCTGGGATAGTTGTGGCTGGCTCAACTTAAAGAAGGAAGTACTGGGATGACCTTTGACTTTGTACCACAGGTAATGTGTAGGCACATTCACTGGACTCTGATTCATTGTTTTACTCACACAATTTCTAAAAATTTAACTCATGAAGAGATCTTGTGGCAAATATAATGAAAAGGAAACAAGGCCTTCTCTCAATACCAGAATGGAACTCTCTCTAAGATGTCCGCATCCCCATGCTACTAACAGGGTGTTAAATCTCATTGAAAGGCATTTTCCCCATCATTTTCACACTTACCAAATTCTATTCACAGGTCCTTCTGGGTAGACCATCCCTAAGACAAAACTCCTATGTTAGGTCCCAGAAACAGGAGTTGCTATGTCCAATTATCTGAGGTCTTATGTTGACAGGCACTCTTAAGTTTGAAAAGCAAGGAAATTGGCCCTTCTGCTGACTCCCCAGGAGAGGCCTTGCCTTGGAGGAGGTGGGGATGGGGGGGAAGGATTGGGGGAAGGTTGAGGGTGGGAGGAGAGAAGGGAGGGGCATCTGTGGCTGGTATGTAAAATGAATAGAAAATTTTTTAATAATAAAAAATTAACTAGCAAAAAAACGCAAAAAAGAAAGAAAGAGAGAGAGAGAGAGAGAGAGAGAGAGAGAGAGAGAGAGAGAGAGAGAATTGTCGTAGAATTAGAAGGAGCCACAGCTGGGGTTTGGCCATCATTCTCACAAAGCCTTGTCTCAGCATGTACATTTAAAGAGCTGGGCTGCCATCTCACTGGGTCCCAGAGTAAAAACTCACCCAAGTCATTTCCGAGAACTGTAGCTGATACCAAAAGCAAACCGTCCCCCAGGAGATAGCCACAGTAGGCTTAATCTCCTTGCCTGGTGGATTCACTTACATCCTCCTGAATCTTATACTCAGACTTCTCAGGCATGAGTCTGAAGGTGTGAAGAGGGAAAGCCTGTGGAATGATAATACAATGATGAATATAAAGTCTATGTGTCACTAATCTATCTCAGCTATTTCCTCTCTTGTATTGTCCTCATCTTCCCATTTTCTGGACTAACAGTAGGCCATCTCTCCCCACCAGGTCAAAGCTTACCTTGTAAGTCCTATCCCAATGGACGGTAGCTTCAGCTATAACCAAACCCGTTGCCTCTGTAATGATTATGGAATAACCTTCTACTGGGACTTTACAGTCCACCGTAAGTAAAAAGAACTACCTGCCAAAGAGAAAACATTAGAAACAAATATGGCCGCAGAACTTCCATGTGGAAGAGTAGAAAGGCAAGGTGGTGGGTGGAAAGGAAGCCCATGAGGACAATTCCTGGGTTCTAAAGCTGTAGAAAGCTTTGGGTAAGAAAGACTAAATAGGATATTGATTTGCAAATGATTTGAGGAAACTAAATGCCAGGAGGCAGTTACCTGGTCCTGGCAGGAAAAAAGGAGAACCCTAAAGTGTCTGAGAGATTGTCTTTGTCTTCATCTCTTCCAGAAACTGTCAAATTTGCAATAGTGGTTGAAATTATTAAGGAAAGAAACATCTGCCCTAATGATGTGGCAGTGGTGCCCATCAGTGGAGACAGGTTTCACACTTATCGTACCGTGTTTGTGAGCTAATGGAAGCCTCTTGTATCTCTGAAAACCAATGCAATTTTTCTCTAAGTAAAATTGACTGGAATATCCATGACAGTGGTTAAATAAAATTCTTACAAGCTTCTCCATGTATTACTGTGTCTTGCCACCAAAATCCTCGTCAAAGTCAGCAAAGTAACCCAAATTTCTTACATTATTCTCTCAACGAACCATTATTGAGATTTTTATGAGTTCTTACTATGCATTGACTTAAAAAGGAAAGGAAGGACTGGAGCGTTACCTCAGTGTGTAATGTGCTTGCCACACAGGTGTGAGGACCTGGCTTTGAATCCTAAGAACCCATAAAGCCAGAAATGGTAGTACACATTTGTGATCCCAGTGCTTCTACAGTGAGACAGGAGCCAGAGATAGAAGTCTCCCTAGAAGTTCTTGAACAAACTAGCTGGGTGTGTGAAGTAGTGAACAACTGTGGATGTTCTCTTAAACTGGTAGACGTCAAGGACCAACACTTGATAATGTCCTTTGTTCTTCATAAGCGTTCCATGGCACAGTGGCCAGCACGCTCACCCATAAACACAAATCATACAAACCTACAACAAAAAAACTTTCAAAGGAAGGAAGAAGAACTAGAGAAGGGAAAATTTGAGAATGATGGCCAAACCCCAGCTGCAGCCCCTTCTAACTCTCTCTCAAAGAGTAGAAAGGTGATGACTGTGGTGGTCCAAAGACCCAACAAATCAGAGGGAGAGTCAGGGCAGGGAGTCAAGCTCTATATTGCTTGGCTTTTCTCCATCCCATTGCCCTCCAGGAAATCCACCTTCGGATTCCAAGAGATGGGAGTGATTTGAAACCAGGGAGCTGGGACAGTCTGTGGTCCTTGCCATGAACTGCAGAATTGTGTGATATTCTGTTGCTTCTTCTCAACCAGTTATAAGCAAGAAACTGTGACTATCTGGAGCACTGGATACACCTTTGCCTATGGACCTCAGGCATAGCAAATGTGGCTGGCCACGAATGAGGGCAAAGAGCCCTTAGGTGCTTCCTCTGAGAGGCCCCACTGCTTCTTTTTGGTAGAAGTGAGACATGAGCAAGGGTAACAAAGTAGGTGAAGCAAATTCTAGAAGATGGAAAAGCAGATCAAGAGCCCAAAGCATGAAAAGGTAGCATATGTCTGGTACTGAGCATGAGTAAGTGGAAGGGCTAAAGAAGATGCTACAAGAAGGATCAGAATCAGAACAGACTGTGTATAGCTAGACAAGAAAATGAAACATGTCCTCTAGGCCAGTAATCCTCAATGAGGATCCAAATCCTGGAAAGGGAAAGAAAGTTGTTCAAAAAGATTATCTGAGATGTTATTAGGACACTAACACCGAATGCATGTGTCAAATATGGGCACTGAAACCCGTGCTTCCTTCTGAAGGCAAGGCATTGTCTTCTATAAAGATTTACATCTCTGCAGAAGGGACAAAGCTGATTCCTTTTAGAGTGCCCTTCCTCAAGGTACTTTTTCCTGGTATACTGGTTTTCAACACCTGCATTAGACATTGTCCGTGAACAACCTTCTCTTTAGCTTGGTTGTGGCAGATTATTACCATTCTGAAGATATTTGTTATTTCCCAGGACTAAGACTATCAGTTAGTCTTGTTTTGTGTCTGTAATCATTTCCCTGAGCCTTTGCTTCAATTTTGTATCTGCTGTAAAAAAAAAAAAAAAAAAAAAAAAAACTCAGAAAGTCACATTTAAAGTGTAATTTGAATTGTCTAGTACCCTCAATGTATGCTTTTTAGCTTTTTCTTAATGTTTGGAGCAGACTAGCTGTGAAGTAAATATCTCTTAATATTTTACATTAAGAAGAAATTAATAGTCTTCAATTTTAGTAAACATTATCATATATTATATATATGTATACATATATATATATAGTCTCTTTGCAGCATGCTTAGGCTTTCTGGCTTGGTCCTAATTCCTTTCTATTTCCATTTTGGAACAATATTTACTTAAAGACAAAACTACCATTTAAACTTCTTTCTCATCTGAAAATATTTTTTTTTCTTTAATTTTCGGTAGCTTAAAGCCCAGGTTGAGTCCAACCTCTACTGCACCATTTCCACTATATGATGAGTTAAAGTTCTTCCCATCAAATTCATAATTTGTAGCTCTGCCTATGAAGCTCATGATGAACAGTGTATGCACATAGCCCCTTGTTTCTTGTGGTGTTAAGTATTGGATCTTTATGGAGTCCACAAGCATGCGACAAACTTCTTTTCTGCAAAATAGTTCTCTATGGGATGACATCATTTTAGAAGCCTGTTGGTCAAATCTGCAACCTTCTTCTTGGTTTTACTAAACTGTTACTAATATCACTACTTTGCAATATATGCCTATTCATCCAAAGCATCTGCCAGATGATATTGAAAAATACATGTCTGATTATGTAAAAGTTTGATCCTTCTGAAGAACCTCCTACCCTGTTTTATTCTCTAGATATTGCTCAATCTTGAGCTCTTTTCTATCTACAAAGTAAGAATGATTAAATACAACGTTCCTAAGAACAATAGATATTGCTTCCAAAATCTATTTTTTGTGCAGGTCTACTTAGCACTCCCATGATTTTATTAGATTTAGGTTTTTACAAAATGTAAATCCCCAGTCCATTAAATACCTAAAATCCTCTCTGTTAGATAGCCTTTACATCCCTGTAATGTACAAGTATCTAGAGAGATGTCTATGTTCTGTCTGTTGCTTCCTATGCCAGAGATTCTAACACAAGATGAACTACCAACCTATAAATTAGTACTGTATCCTGAAGCATGCATGTCAGTATATCCAAGTGGTACAGCTTCAATGTTAACATCACATTGAAATATCCTCCTGCTTTAAAAAATAAGAAGGAAATTGTCATTTTGAACAACATAGATAAATATGGAAGGCCTCGTATCATAGACTTTCCCCCATCCATTTTAGCATGTCTATTTTTGTTATCCCTGTACCATTCATGTTTAAGTCTTAAGGGAGTAGCTTTTGACATTCCTAGCAGATACAGGCTCACAGCAAACTCCCTGATCCTCTGGCTCTTAGTCTTTCCACCACCCTCCCCCCTTAGTGATCCTTAGTTGCAGGAGTTGTTTTACCATACACAAAGAACTACAGGCCACTAAGGAATGCTGAGAGAGGGAAAAATAGTCTTCCCCAGGAAAGAGCACACCAATTGATTACCCAATACCAAATGGTCAGTCCTGAAGAAATACATAGAAATAACATTATACAGACTGAGCAAGTTATCTTTAGGAATATATATGCACACACATATATGCATATAACAACAATGAAAAAAGAGGCTATCAATTTGAAAGAGAGCAAGCAAGGATATACAGGAGGGTTTGGAGGGATGAAAGGGAAGGGCAAATGATGTAATTATATTATAATCTCAAAAATAAAAGAAATATTTTTAATCCTGAAAGGCACTAAACTAGATAACAAAAGTCAACCAGAAGTAAAAATCCTGTATGTTTCTACTTATAAGAGGTCATTGAAATAGTCAAAGTCTTAGAGACAAAGATTCTCCATGCTTGACATTGTGGATACCTAGAAAAAGAAGTTTTTCAGGTCCTTTTTATGCCTTTGCCTAGCCCAGTGTCTATATTGCAATCCCCGACAATTCCTACCAGCCGCTATGCGAACCTTCTCTAGCCCAGTAAGAGTGGAGTGTTGTCAGATACATGAGAGCCAGAAATGGTTCAATAGGGGAAAAAGCACTTCAAAACCCTAGAAAGTCTTCAGCACTTACTTAGCATAGGTCTAGAAAGTCTCATTTCTCTGGAGTAAATAGAAGTACTGTTTTCGCCATTGATTGCCAACTATTTCCCTCGGGATTGTGCTATGGTTTCACTGTAGTAAGTAGCTCTCCTCCTCTATCTCTAATTCCTTGCACAAGTCAACATCACATTTTGTAGCTAGTATTCTCCACATTTTCAGAAGGAAATATCCCATTTAAATCTTAATCTTAAAGTCCTCACTTGGAGCACACTACATGAAGGATCCAGAATCTTCAAGAAAGATATAGAATAAGCTGGGGTGCCATCAACTCCTAAAGGAAGGCAGAGGAATAAAAAAGTATTTCACCTTATCAGAAACCAGAACATTAAAATATTATAGAACCGTTCTATGTATATCTTTTAGATGTGGACACTTTAGTTAAGGCCATACTTTTATGAAACTAAATAAAATCAAAATAAAGTTCATTGAAATGTTATGCTTCTGTTAAAAATTGTGGTAGAGATAAGAGTGAGCAGATAGTATATTGGGGAAAAATAACCTATAGCCAGCACTTAAATTGTTAATAAAATATGCATCCCTGAAAGGATCAAAACTTGCAAAATCAATAATATCAACACAAAGCAAGGACCTTGTTCTCTAGACTGGGAAACCAAACACCCAGAACAATATGGAAGCTGTCAAGTATAGTGAGAGAAAATTCTCCCTGGTTTAAGAGAGACACTCCAAGCTCCAATTTTAAGACATAAGAGACAGAAATCTAAATATCTATCCAATAGTAATCTAGCAGAACAATAGAGAATGAAGCAGAGAAAAGCCAAAAGAAATAAACAGGGAGAATAACCCAATAAGAAACATTGGAAAGAAAAAAAATGTATGCAGCAAAAAATGCAATTAAGTGACCTTCCGTGAAATGGACTCAGTAAAGAAAATGGTATAGTTGCCTTGAACTGAGCTTTGCCAAGGAAGTACATGTCAGGACACCATATACCAAGTGCCCAGAGATTTGGAGAGAGAACCCTATGCTGCAGAAAACACAAGCCAGAGGCTGAATTCATTTTGCCTGGAAAGGCAAGTGCAGCAAAGCAGGCGTGTGGGCATTGCACCAGAAGAGAAGCACTGGCATTCAAAGTGAAGAGTCACATCATCTAACCTCCATTATTGTAAGGTCTCATAAAAGTGTAACCTTAGCTGAGGGTCTACACCATCTCATCTCAGTAAAAATGGCAATCATGAGGAATCTTGGCAAG